GGCTCGCTGCCAGACGAGTGTAATTCCTCGACAACTTCCTGCCACACCTCAGGTTGTTCCCTGAATCATCCAGCAGGCAGTGGATAAGTCGCGAAAGATTGTGACGCACCATTGGGGCCCGAGCCGAACCGTCCTCTGCCGCCGGACCCTGCCAGTCATCACAAATCTCCTCAGCAGCCATTTCAAAAGCCTCGTGATCGCAGCCGTTGTCCTCTTCGTCTTCAGAAGGCTCAGACTCCGAGACCGGGACATGAAGCAAAGGATCCTCGGGCACCTCAGGAATTTCTGGTTCATCAGCCTGCCCAGGGAAATACCCTGACCTCGTGCTGTCAGGACGGAAAGTGTCTGATCGGATCATGCCCAGGACCTTTTCAAGGTCCCTCACCGCAGGGGCGATGCCATCCCTGAAATACAGCAAACGCATTGAGTCTCCCGGAGCTGTATGATAGCCCAACACCCGCTGATGCTCGGCTGAAATCCCAAATGTCCCGGTCCATGAAAGACACGTAGCCTTGCAACTGTGTGTACCCAGCGCAGTGACCAGTTCATCATTGAACTCCAAACTTGCAAGGAGACCCCTCAGCCACGCAGCAGCAAAGCTAGCAGTAGGTGGTACTCGAGTCCAGCCCCCTCGCTTGCTACCCATAACCAGAAGAGGCACACCAGGCCCCGAGGGCATCTCCTGATCTGTCCTCAGAGTCAGCCACTCTGAAACCCAATCCTTGCCAGTGAGGCCACACAGCGGCACCACCATAGGTAAGTACTCAGTTTTCCTCTCGACAGTGTACGAAGTCTTAGACCTGCTTACCGAGGTCTCCAGGTAACCCTGCAAACGCGGCCCCGACCCTCGATCCACCTTGAGGTCCTCCATGTGCAGGGCGTCTGAAAAACGGGCCCTCGCATAAACACATACCAGGAAAAATCCAGCAACGATTCGGTCACCTGGAGGAGCGCCCGCAGTACAAAAAAGATTCTCCAAAGCCTTGACCATGGCCACGCTCAGAGGAGGCTTAGGCTTCTTCTTCCGCTTCTGTAAAAAGCAGCCCTAGCAGCCCTAGCAAGCCCCTGGACTCGCTGGCCGCATGCATCATCTGCTCCAGCCAATCCCAAAACATAAAACCCGAAATTCAAGGATGACACCAGGCTCCTAGGAAACTCGGCGAACACTCGGCCTCCACGCTGCAGAGGAAATCATAGACATCTGATTCCTGAATCGGAAAAGCCTGAAGTCCCTCGGAGCTGCACCAGGAGACATACCGCAAAAGCGGGTTAGCACGATTGTTAAGAGTTCCAGCGGCCTTGCCACTGAAAACATGCTGCAGCCCCTTCTGGAAGTCAACACCCAAAGGATCGAGGCGAGTGCTCCTTCTGCCCAGATCAAATTGCTCAGGCGCCAGCCTTATAATAGCAACCCATTTTCTGATAGCAGCCTGCATTTCGCGATCCTTATGTCCCTTCCAGGTTTGCGAAATACGAATGCTCGAAGCAACATGCATACTCACAGCAGCCGCCTTAGCCTGACTTGCTCTCTCTGAGCTCGAAGTCAAACTCTGCTTCGGAAGAGCAGGAAGAGGACCAGAAGGGCCCGGCACTCTGAAAGGAGTTCCTAAAGGCTGCTCCTGCAAATCCCACATCGGACGGAAAACGCTTGCTGATGTCTGCCGCATGCAATGCTCGAGATGCCCCGCAAAAGCATCCTGGTTCAAAGGCTCTGACGAGAAAGCTCTCTTACGAGAGCTCATTTCAAGAAACCATGGGCACAAATCTAAACTCTCACGAGTGAGCACCCCGGAACCTCTAGCACACAAGGCCCACAGAGGCTCCTACGAAAGAGCACACTCTCTCTACACCCCACTTCCGGCAACTTTTGGCCGTCGTGAGGCCCTCCCACCAACCCTGAAGCCGATATTCGCATCACAAAAGAGTTTTCACATCATTCCACAAGGATTGTAAAGAAAACAAAAGGTCATGCAAAACAAAGTNNTCGAGTAGCAAGCTACGACGTCGCTTAGGGTTCAAGAGGAGGCCGCACAGCGCGGGGCCGCACGGAAGTTGGGAAGAACCTCCTGGAGGACGCCTTCGTGTCTGTTTCTCCCCCTTCTATCCCCTATTTGCCTGTCGGTGGCCCGGTTCTTGGCAGCGTTAAACACACGGACGGCCTGGTCCTGAGTCTCGGGCCCGTCTTTGCTGAGCCGCAAGAGGCCGAAGCTGTCCCACAATTTTGCAAGAGCAAGCACACGAGAGGGCACCTCACGCGAGATGTCGGGCACCTCAAAGGCACCGGGCGGCCCGACCCCGGGGAGCAGCAGCACTTGCGGGGCTCGGAAGGGCATATAGAACAGGTCATCAAGGAAATCAGACGGGTCCCAGTTTGCCCTGCTGGCGAGCTTGAGGCGAGAAGGGTCGAGGGTTCGGTAGGGGTGCAGGGCATCGAAAGCAGTTTGCTGGTCCAGCGGGAGGCCTGGGAACGCGGGCCCATAGCGGTCAAAGGAAGGACCCAGCGAAGTGAGGCCCTGGCACACCTGCTCCAAACATGCAGCTAATTTAGAAGACCGGCGCGAGGCCGAGACAGGATCAACCGCCTCGACCGCACCGCAAGCCTTGACAAGCCTCTCAAGATAGTCCAAGGCCTTTGCTTGAAGGTCACTGGGAGGCCTCCGCAGGGGGGGGCATGAGCAACGGGCCGAAGCCCAGCATAGAGGTAGTTGGTCACAAAGACAGCTCTCTTCACACCAATCCGAGAGCGAGCGGCCGAGCCCAGGTGCGGGGGAAGTGCCCGGAAGATGCCAAAGTATGGCAGGGGCAGCGGGAACAAGGACTTGGCAGGCGCCCTTGGAGGCGCCGGAGAAAAGGAAACTCTAAGGGCGTCTTGGTCCGAACAATCCTGTAGAAAAGGCTGAGGGACCACCTCCGGAAAGTGAGGCGAGGCGGCTGTGCAGGCGGAGCGTCGGGCCCTTTGGACCGGTCCCTCGGCCGAGCCTCGCGAGGCGGTTTCAAGCAAGAGGCCTTACCCAAGACAGGGGCAGGCTGCACAGAATTAAATGGCGCCAGGAAGTCGCTTAGCCGAAGGACAACAGGCAGGCCGCTTGATAAAACAGGTTCATAAACCGGAGCGCTGGCCAGCGACCGGTGCAAAAGTCCAGGGCCCTCACCCTCCAAGCCGGGAGGGGGGCAGCACACGAGGAGACGAGGCAAAGAGGAAAGGCCGGAGCGCAGCAGAGAGCAGGTCGGGGGCCTCGGGAACCTGGGCTTCCGAGGCGGCTTTTTCGGGGCTGCGTCCGGCTCGTCGCGGGCCGTGTGGCCAGAACTGGTGGCTCCTCCTGAGGCCTCGTTCCTCCTTGCAAGGATGGAGTCGGTCTCCTTCAAGAAGGCAAGGGCGGTGGTCGCCCAAGTGGGCGGACACAAAGGAGCAAACGCCCTGAGCCTCGGATTTTGAGGCGCCCAACCGGTTTGAAAACACCAGACTCGGGGGCTCGGCAAAGAGGCTCAAAGTGTAGGCAACCTCGAACTTGCCATGGTCGAGGGCAGCTTGCTCCAGGCAGACCATGAGGAGGGAGAGGGCCCAAAGCCCCTTCCTCCGACCCCGCAAGCAGCATGTCCGAGACCTGGCAAACCATATACATGATGAGGCCCAGGTCCTTCTGGTGTTGGTACCCTCCGTGCCTCTCCAGGTACTGGGAGAAAGTGAACCTCCTGGGCTCTCGCCTTAGCTCCTCCAGGCTCTTTGGGGCGGCTTCTGTCGGGAACATCCGGCGGTGCCCGTTCTGAGCCACAGCCAGCATGAAGTTCCCCGTCTGCAAGGAGAGCTCGGCCTGAAGCTTTTCTCGCTTTGCGCTGGCCCGGGAAGACAGCCCTGCACAGCAGAGGAAGGCCGGAGGCGAAGTCTCCTGATGCCTCTGAAACCTGGATAAGATGGCCCACCAGCTGTGTAAGAGCTTCGGTCTGCTGGGCCAGGGCGGCAGCCATCGGAGAGGGCCCGGCCTCCAAAATCTCTCCCATACCTCCTGGGCTCGGCGGCTCTTGCACAACAGTTGCTGGGACCGCCGGCTCCGCTCTTTCTTGCCTTTCAAGCTGTGCCATCGCTCCGGCCTTGCTGGCGGGAGCCCCCGCGGCCGGCAGGGCAAAGGGCTGACGATGAGCAGGTAGAGGGGCAGCTGGAGGGACTCCCATAGAGACCTTCTGTTCCAGGGCCTGCTGCTTTTCGGAAAGGGCCTGCAGCTGGCTGCTCAAGGCAGGGAGCAGCTCGCAAATACTTCCACTGCTCGGCCAGCTGGTTCGTGGTGACCCTCTTTTGCTTTTGGCGCTGCGGCGCCGCCCGAGCATGAGATCGCCCGGCTCCACCTCTGCCTCGAGAGCGGAGTAAAAAGCAGTCCTCTCGGCAGCCACGGTGCGAGCCCAGGCCTTGCACAAAGACACCAGCTGAGCCCCTTCTGGAAAAGAACCAGGGGCTTCCGGGCAGAAGGGCACAGGGTCGATCAGCAGCAGGGGGTCGTAGGGCTCGAGGAACTGGCAGGGGCTCTCGGTTAAGTCCACCTCCCCTCCCTCCATCATCCTCCTCTACCATGGCTGGCACCGTGAGGGTCGTAGAGGGGCCAAACATAGCCAGCGCATCGGCCTCGTTCCCTTGTGCCAGCAAGTTTGGTGGCACGGCTCCCGCAGGCAATGCCAGCAAGAAGCCCCCTTGACGAGGCATCACTGCATATGCACAAAACCTGGCGGTCGGGCTCTCCATGCAGGAGAGCCACCCACAGGAGGCCGGGCGAGGAAGGGCTGCACATAGCCGTCTGAGGCGAACGAAAGCTGAGCCATCGTAGTCATTGCTCCTGCGGGAAGGGGCAGCCGGCAGCCACACAGAACACTCGGGCCTCGCCTTCCGTGGGGAAGCCGTGGCAAACAGTGGAACTTCCTGGCAGGTGGCCCACCTCACGCTTGAAAGAGGAAAAGTCTCGGTACACTGCCGGGGGCTTTCCTGAAGAGTGGCGGAGCACAACGTACAACCTGGACCTGACCTCCAACTTCGGCGTTGCGTCCACGAAGTCAACCTCGCCTGAAAGCACGCGGGAAGCGGAGCGGCCTGCAGCCCAAGCCCGGGCAGCACGCTGCTCACGAACAGCAGGGCCCAAAGAAGAGCACAGGTGCACGCAGTCCTGAAAATCCAAGGGCCGGCTGGCCTGCACGGGCGGGGGCCTAAACCGAAACTTAGGGGCAGGTGAGAAGGCGGCGTGTTGCTTGGGGTCAGGATTGGTCCTTTAGAGGTCCTAGGGGGAGTGCTCGGAGCGTCGTCAACGACGACCCAGCCGTCCGGGCTGGCTGGCCTCTCGAGGGCCTGTGCAAGATTCCCGGTAGCAAGGTGGAGCTGGGCCACAGCACACGATAAGGAATCTATGTCAACAGAGCTCGCAGAAGCCCTCTCACTCATCCAAATACCCTGAGAGTCTGGAAGAGGGCCCCCTAGAAGGCCTTGCAACTCTAACCGAAGGCTCCCGGCCGGCGTCAGAGTGCGTGAGACCGGCATCAACAGAGCCGAGTC